AGGGACTTGATAGGGAGTAAATTATAGTGTACTTTGTTGACAAAGGGTTATAATAGTTTTGGAAGGAAATTCTTATATACTATCAAATTTCAGCTTCTCTTCAGTTCACTGATTCTTTTGCTACTTTCATTTCTGTGTGTCTCATATGATACAACGAAGAACAAAAGCTGTGCTGCTGGTACGTCACATTTATATGCTCCAATAAAATTAATTTTTTTTAAAGTCAGAGTCAATAATAAGTGCTGGTAGTTCACATTTCTGACAGATTATTTCTTGTATTTTCCTGATAGGAATTATAATTTCTTTAATTTTGTTTTTTCTGCTTTTGAATGGGGATTAAATGATGCCCTCCATATACGAGTAAGCTGAAATCTGCCGACTGAAACAACAGCTTCTTTCTCCTATGTGATTCTTAAAACTGGTTGTAGGTTGAAAATAAAATATCCATCCATTTTCCATCAAGCTTATCCCAAGCGGGGTCACGAGGGGTGCTGGTGCCGATCTCCAGCTGTCTACGGGGGAGAGGTGGGGTTCATCCTGGGCAGGTCGCCAATCAATCGCTGACAGGTGGCCGGTCCATAAGAATTATATATATATATATATATATATATATACACACACACATTTGTGATATGTTCACATTTATTTCAATAATCTATTAATCAGGATTAATCTGACTGTTTCAACCTTACACGAATCAGTTAATATCAAGGAGAACAAGTATTCAATATCAGAGGTTTCAACACTACAAGACCTGCTCCCGATACTGCATGTTCATTCTATCGGAGGCCTAAGAAAACCCCCATGAGAGAATTCATAATAACTGGCAGCACTCTGCTGATCAGCTGGCTGAAAGAGGCTAACACTTAAAAGAATGATACGCTTAGCAATTTGTCAATATCTCTCTTAACAAAAAACAAAAAAAAACGGCAGTGAAACGAACAGAAACTAAAAGGTCACGGACCCTCGCTCTTATTAAGGTTAGTGAGCTACAGGCAGCAGAGTGACTAAGCAAATAAAGCAACTGATCATAGAGTTATTAAAACTATTTGCCTCGTGTTATAATTGAGCAGTATAATGAAAAGTATTTTTAAAACTGCTATTAAATATGGTGCTTTGAAATCACAGATCCTCTGTGTATCAAAACAAAAACAGCAGTCATTTTAAAAACTGACATTTAAAAATGTCTATCATTTTAAGTAGCACTGTTGTATCGCCAATCTTTATAAAAGCAAGTCAAAGATGCTACACATTTCGATTTAAAACTTTTCAATTAATACCATAAACTCTTTTTTCTTAAGGGTATCATACTGTTACGCTGTCATGCAAGTCCAAGCCTTGTATAATCATGGTCTTGTCAAGACACAATCATCATTTTGTTCTGTTGTTGTTGTTTTTTTTTTTGCTTATTGTTTAAAAGATGTATATTTAATCCAAGCAAACTCTAACACGTGGCTTTACTGGCAGCATGTTAAAGCATTTAAATGTTTTTTCTCCTATACATAATTTACATTTGGATGTCAATGCTTACTAATGTTATCCAGAAACCAAAACAGGCTTCATACTATTTTGTTATCACAGCTCTGATAGTTACCCAGGATGCAGCTTATAAGGCAGACAGGGATTCAGAACCATTGAGCTTGTTTCTGTTGTTTTTGCTTCAGCCTTTTTATTGTTGTTCACACAAACTGATCTGATGCAAGCTTCATTCGCTCATGCACAGTCTGGATTCCAAAAAAAGCTGAGAGTTCAGTTAAGCTTGATTTGAAAAAGAATGCATTATGAAAATACCACATCTATCAAAATATTACTTTTTGGTTTATCAAAAGTACAATCATCTAACATTTCATGTACATTTTCAGTTTTTATGACGCAGTTTTTTGTTTTATTTTTTATTTAAGGACAATGCAGGGGTTTTTTTGGGAGGTTTTTTTGGGGGGGCTGATTCTTAAGGATGATATTGCTTTTTCTTCCCCCATTTATATAACACTGACACAATAACACATATTACACGTCTCAAACAAAACAATGAAAGATTCACCAACAGGTAAAACAAAACATTAGAAATAGAGAGAGCCAATGCACTTCATGGGATTTCAGAGAATGGCTGCAGAATGTACTAATGAATCGGTGAATTCATACATATATGCAAGTAAATAGAATGCTTATATCAGCCAAGAATATCTTTAGCTTATAGTTAGTGGCACATGTTATCCTGATTTATCTCTATAGTTATGCTCTTATTGGCTTAGACTTCTGGATGACATAGGGACCCCTATTTCATCATTCTGCTTCATTCTATCTCTATTCTTCCACTCTGCAGAATGTGTTAGTTTCAATCTCTAACGTTATGCTCTCTCTGCTTTTTCTCATAGTAGCTTCGCCTCTGTTCCTGTTAGGCTGTGACACCATTCTGGAGAGAAATATCAGCTGTGCTTCTGCCATCAACACCTTTGTTTATAGATGTTGTAGATCTGCCTGTTTTGCCAATGTAGTCCCTGTTTCTCTGACTGTGACTGGGGGGATGAGCTCTCTTCATCCTCTGACATGGGAGTTTCCTGGACGGGGCCGCCTTTTACAGTTGCTTTTTGTATCTCTGCTTCTGTCTCCCTGAACCCCAGTCGGCCTCTGCAGATTGCCGCTCACACTGAGCCTGGTTCTGCTGGAGGTTTCTTCCTGTTAAAAGGGAGTTTTTCCTCCCCACTGTCGCTACAAGCATGCTTAGTGTGAGGGATTACATTTGAGTCAATGAGTCCATGCAATCAATTGGTTTACATTAGAAAGAAAACTTTGAATAATTTGACTGTATGATCTGGTGAACTGTAAAGTGCCTTGAGATGACATGTGTTGTGAATTGGCGCTATATAAATAAACTGAATGGAATATCTGCAGTCTAATCTGTCTACATCTAGTTTCAATGCTAAATAAAAAAAATAAGGGGCATCCTAAGAATGGTACAACTGTTCACATTCTTAACCTGATCATCCTGGTATCATTTATGGTTGCATTTGCCTTAGAAAACTCTGCAAACCTGAGGAAAAGAGACTGAATGGAAACCAGTGAGCAGAAAACAGTACCTGGATCTGTTCGGAGGTCCATTGGTCCAGGTTGACTGATTTGACTCTGGATATGTGAACCCCCAGGTTCCTGTGGATCCCTGCACACCGGATGCAGATGAAAACTCCCAGATTCCAGGATGCCCATCTTGGACCTGTTCAAAACAGGAAACACTGAAAATGTGAGAAGCTCCAAAAGGAAAAAAAAAACACATCAACATGTTCGATCTTGTTGTTTTTCCATTCCCCAAGACTAAAAGTTGTAAATACCTGTCAGAACATGAAAATAAGCTTTGAGTTTCTTAGAAAGAACAACCAGAGTATGTTAAAGCGGCGGTTAGAGAGAAGCACCGAGGGAGCTTAGGTAGGTTTACAGAAGTTAGCTCGCTGCTTAGCAAATTAGTTTAGCTTAGGGGGAAGAAATGTCAGCTGACCAGTTTGAGCCGTTTGTCTTAAAAGAGCCGAACAAAAATTCAACGGCCCTTTTATATCTGTGTCGAGAAAAATGAGAAGATAGGGCGCATTGATAAAAGCAATGAAATAATCCCCAGAGTGAGCGCCGCACCTTTCGCCTCGCAATCGGCGCAGTACTTGTTGTCTTCCTCCCTCAGCATTTTGGACAGGATGGCCTGGTGCTGCTCGTTCAGTTTCTGGGCCTTCTCTCTCTCCGAGCGGGTCGTCATGTTCGCGGCTTCGCTGGGACTTGTTTCAATTAGAGAAACGGTACTTTGTTCGGTTGTCAGTGAAGAGAAGTTTCACGGTAAAATATCATAATCGGAGGGTCTGAAAGCCTCCGACTGGGAAATGAAACACCCGGAACCGGAATCTCCTCTCCGCCCACAGGAATTCTGGAGCTCACGAGGCGGAGGCACCGGATTGGACGAGAGGCCTGACGTCGTGTGACGTAGGCTGTACGCAGTATAACGCAGATATAAGGTTAGAAAAGATAAAATAAAGAAAAACAAAACGTTTTCTTTTCTTTCTCCAAAAAATGTTTATATTTTACTGCTAAAATACATAAATAATTAAGTGTGCATATGCACCTCCCATTGCTTCTTTAATTTTTTTTTATGTTTACTTCATGATTCTAACACTGTTGGAAAGGAAACACTCTTAAATAAAATTATATATTTTTATTTTATAATTTTATATACACCCTTGTTTATAAATATTGGAGATCGGCCTGTTTTTCCAGTGTAGTCCTGTTTCACTGACTGTGACTGGCCAGATGTGCTCTCTTCATCCTCAAACATGGGAGCTGGCTCAGAGCTCGTCTGCCTGGCTGTGTGTTTAGTGGACAGGGCCGCCTTTTACAGTTGCTTATTGTATCTCTGCTTCTGTCTCCTTGAACCCCAGTCGGCCTCGGCAGATTGCCGCTCACACTGACCCTGGTTCTGCTGGAGGTTTTCTTCCTATTAAAAGGGAGTTTTTCCTCTCCACTGTCGCTACAAGCATGCTTAGTGTGAGGGATTACATTCGAGTCAATGAATCGATGCAATCAACTGGTTTTCCTTAGATAGAAAACTGAATCAATTTGACTGTATGATCTGGTTGAACTGTAAATTGCCTTGAGATGACATGTGTTGTGAATTGGCACAATACAAATAAACTGAATTGAAATTGAATTATATTGATTAATTTGACTGATTTGATTTGGAACTTGGGGTCTCTGAATAACTAGTGATAGTTTGAACAGCAAACATGGAGTTATAGGTTTAGTAACAACTTTAAGGTTTATTAGCATTATGGGATTGAAGTGTGGAGAAATTCCCCGTCAACCAACGCATTCAAATAGAATAGAGCAACTGTGGCAAAAATGTGGAGTGCTGGAGGCAAATCAAGTAGGCAAATTACAGCATAAAGGTGCACACAGTCAAGACATACATGAAAAAGAATCAACAAAAATTAAAGTTAAAACAGACTAAAGAGGAAATGGAAAAATACTTAGGAGAAAAAAGGTGTTTATTAAAATTCACACATTCAGTTTAAATACATGTCGTAGATTACCCCCCAGAAAACACCCAAATTACACAAAAATAGTGTACATTTTCTGTGTCCTTTTTTTTAACAATACATATTTTTTATGACATTGTAGCTTATGCTGTTTGCAAAAGACACTAAGAAAATAGTCTGTCTACTGATATCCAGAGCAAATCTGTCTAATAAAGCCTGACCCTCAATGTGCAGCAACAAGAAATTAAGGGGCTTGACTGTGTTGTTCTTTAATCTATAGATGGGGGAAAAAAACAACAAAAAAACAGTCACTCTTAACACATTCTCTGGAATATTATTTAAAGGAAAAGCAAGTTTCTTTGTATAGCACAAAACAATTAAAAATGCTTTACATGAATTAGGTAATACAAAAGAAGATAAAATGAAAAAAAATAATAATAATTGTAGAACTAAAAAAATAACTGGACCACAACCATAAACTAAGGTAATAATACCTGTTAGCAGAGGTTGTGAAAGAGGAGGTTGTGATGTATTTTAATGCAACACATAATTTAATGCAGTTGACTTTGTTCAACTGAACTTGTTCTTGTACACCAAGGAGGGGCCCAGCATGAAAAGTTTGGGAACCACTGCTTTAAATCGTATATGAAAGATCTTTTGAATTCTTTTAAGATATGTTTTCTTTCAAACAGTTCATAATGGACAGTCTGATAAATAACATTGCTTTTTATCACTTAGTGCAGCCAACTAATTTATAGTTCCAGTATTCTATTGGCAAAAGACCGGGTACACGCAGGACCGGTTGCCACACACAACACAGAGACAACCATGCACTCATCTAGGGACAATGTAGAGATGCCAATTAACCTAACAGTCATGTCTTTAGACTGTGGGAGGAAGCCGGTGTATCTGGAAAGAACCCAACATGCAGAGGGAGAATATGCAAACCCTGGGACGTGAATTAAACCCAGGACTTTCTTGCTGCAAGGCAACATTGCTAATAACCCCGCTACTGTGCTGTCCTACAAGTATTACAAACTAATACATAGAACGCATCAAAAAGTGCCATGACTTGAGACAAACATTTGGTTTAATGGTTTCCCATTTTACAGGCTTAAGCAATATTTAAAAAAAACATCCTTTTCTTTTTTTATTTAGCCTACTTGTCTCCCTTAAATAATTAATGAGTTATCAAGCAATGATTTTGAAAAAGTCAAGGTAAGAAACAGAATGTTAAGAACCCAAAAAATAAAATGGACACACTGTACACATGAATGGGCGTCTTATAGCTTTAGATCCGAGTTTAAGAATTTTTATCTGCCAAAAACCAGTAAAGAGCAGGTTTCTTTCTGGTCTGTATCAAGTTAGGAACAACATAATATTTGCAAGTTGTTATGATTTGATCTTTTAGCAAAACAAGCAGATTCATATGTACTTAATCTCCATTGATGCAAATGACAGATATTTTACACTACTTTGTTTGACACTGACAACTTTCACTATATTTTACAATAGTCATATAAATGCTAAATTAAGAGCTATCCAGCAGACTCCAACAATCCTGGCTGAAAGAAGGATTCATATCTGACTAGTGCAACAAAAAGCAGCTACTGCTCAGAGAATATCATGCACATCAGGGATAGATTAGGTTAATGACAATTATTTTATGTCCTTTAAGCTGGAAACTTACTCATTAAAACAGAGTCACTTTAAATACAGAACATCTAAAATACACAGAACTAAAGTCACAAGAAAACATTTTTATTAATACATGTATAAAGAAAAAGGTAAGTCTCTTTATTCATTAGATTATTGTTAAATAAGGGCAAAGCTCCAACAGATGTAGTAAAAGACAAGAAAAAAATGTGTTGCTTTTTAGAAGATAAGCAAAAGTAATTCAGAAGAAGGTTTCCAGACGGATCTTCAAGTTATTCTCCTGGTGTCTCACTGCGATCCCGTATCGAAGCAGCATCTCCACGTACGGCGGCCAGAAGGTGTGATCCAACGTAACGTAAGGGTCATGCGGTGTGTTTATGACCTTGTTCATAAGAACCTGCAGATGATGTCAAGATAGAGTGGTGTTTAGGCTGCAGATTGTCAGGTGACAACATGCAATGCTCTGAACTGAATCAGCTGTGGTCTTTACATTAGATCTTCTGGATTTTATAACCAAATTATTTGTATCCATCTGTACCGATTTTGTAAGGATGTCTAGTTGAAACTAGAAACATCTCCCAGAAAGTTTGTTATTGTTACCAAAAACCTCTAAGGTTCAGCTTGATGAGTGAAAATAAAACTAGATGTTTAGATCATTTAGTTTTTAAATACAAAAACTAAAAACATAAAACACAACCTGAAGCACTCCGATCTTCAGTGTTTAAATGGTTGCATTATGAAGCAAAGGTATGCCGCTATATGAAGCTACTGTTGCCTATTGACAGGAACATCTCACTGGATTTATGCATTGTTTTAGCTGCCTTTTACACAAAAACAAATAACTTTGGGCTCATTCTTACAACCTTTAAGCTAAAGCAAATCTTGATAAAACTTGTTCATACCTCTTCATAATGCTGAAACTCAGGATTTCATTTTTTTTTTTGCCTTTAAGAAGAAAGACTCCAAAAGAATCCATCCCAGGAATTTTTTTTTAAAAAGCGTTGACAACTTTTGATTGGTTGTTGGTCCCTGTGAGACCAGTTACCAGCTTAACAATGCCACAGTCAGAGCTTGTGTAAAAAAACCACGGCTGCAACTAACGATTATTTCCAACAATTATATAAATTGATTAATCTGTCGATTATTTTCCAATAAATCGATTAATAATATAATAGCAAAAGGTTCCTTAAAGAACACTTTTTAAGAAATTAAACCAGGTGAAACTAAACCTTTTGAACTTGAGAAGCTATGGATAGGCCATAATGACAGATGAAAATTAAAATAATTATCTTAAGTGCAAAATCTTTACAAATATTTTTTACAATCTTGGTATAGTTACTGCTGTAAGTGGGTTGCTCTGTAAGATAAAGGCATGTTTAGAGTCTCTATTGTTTTCTGTTGATGATTAATTGATTACTAAATGAGTTGACTATTATTTCAATAATCGATTAATCATAATTAATCGTTTCAGTGCTAAAAAAAAAAAAATTTAGAACTGGTGCTAATTCAGACCCAAGCATAAAAAATTGGAATTTGAAAGCTCCCAGATGTCAGAAATACGCTTTGGAGGTTAGAAAAGCTGCTACTCATATCAACAGTAGGGACACTTTTTTACTTTGGATAAAATAGTTCTTTAAAATTACATTAACCCTGTGTAACATTAGGTCAATAAAACATGTATTGCTTTTTAATGTTTACATGTCTAGATGTTTCAATACTGTTTCTATGTAAAAACACTATTTCCTTTGCAGTCTATTTTAATTTCAACCTGACTTTTAGTGGAAAAACATAGTCACCAAAGCGATTGCATTTCTCTGGCTTTCACTGATTCGAGCTGCAAAGTAAATGGAATGCAGCCTCAATACCAGCCTTAGTTTTCTCTCAAATAGATGGCGGCAAAGAGAGTCAGTCCTAAAAAGCTTTATTTCACCAGCCTGTCAGGAAGCTGAGCTTGTCCTTTAACCAAGCTGGATTCTTAACAAACTCCTACTTTAATTTGATCTATTGACTTTGCTTTTTCTAATGACATTAAATGAGTGAGAGAAATGGCATGTGAAGCTAATAAGTATGCCCGGCATAAATGGTGACCATGGAGAACCTTTAAGGTATAGTGGAGGATTTCATTTTTCCGGATAGATCATCTAAATAAGTGGCCCTCCTAATTGTCAATCATTCTGGTAATATGTTTACATAAGGCTGTCCTACATGATCGCCCCGTTAGCTATCTTTTTCTGCGCATGCGCACTTTCAGCCATATATGTGTGGCGAGCTACGTTTTCAGACAGTCATTGAAGCTCACCTTTCTCACTGTGGTTCTTTGAAAATGGCCGAGGGTCATAAGAGAAAAAGTGTCTACGAAGTGCATGATTATACGGGAAGCGAAAGTTAGCAATTCTCTGTCCAAACGGTTGGTTATAAAGCCCTCTATATAATCCCCGCTCTATATAGGGATTGAGGGGTTAGACGAACGTTCGTGTACAGCAAGCTTGTCTGAGCTATGAGAACATCAACTTTTAAACAGAGCGTGCACGAGGAGAAATGGGCTCTGCATGCTGTTGCACATGTTTAATAGGCGTTCCGTCTTGGGAGCAGGTACAGGGTTGTGCATGTGCATTTTTCTTTATTAAGTGGAGAGGGCGGAGCGCGAAATCCTTCACTACACCTTTAAGGGCTGCTTATAACAACAATGTGACATCTGTGTAGTTTTTGTAGTGCAGGTGCCCACCTCCAGGATTTCACTCAGGGAAATAAGGTCCTCAGTTATCTCATGGGTAATGCTCTGAAAAGAAAAACGACTTTGGTAAAAGTGATTATAAGAACCAAACGCTGGTATTGACACTACACAAGCATTCTGCACCTTCTTCCTTTTGCTTGCGCTGGACTCCTTCTTAGGGAGAGGAATATGCGTCTCCAGGACATCTCCAAGGGTCTCCAGCAGCTTCTCCTGATAGACCTTTATTTTCTGGATTTTGGCTTTGGTGTCCAAAATGATGCTGGATGGGAGGGAAGGAAGGACCGTAAATCACACTACATACTCTCCAAGCTGCCTACGCTCCCTGAATTTCTCTCCCAGTTTGCCGTGACATGGCCATTGTACTCACTTATGTTCAGATAATTTCTCCCTCTCCAGTCGAAGTCGTTCAATATGATCACTGGCGGCTAATAGCACCTGTTTCTTTTCTTCTAGCCATTTCTGCTCCCTGTAAGGCAGGAGGTGAAACAAAGTATAAAGTCACAGTAAGGTCTGGTCCATTCAGTCTAGGAAAACATTTATATGCTCTGATGAAGCAGAAAGTAGTGAAGAAAAGCTTGCAGGGTAATGGAAAGGTCACACACAGCTCTTTAGTCTCTCTCAGTTTGTCTCTCTTGGCTTCACAACAAGAAACAACCATCTCCAGTTCAGAGCAAAGCTTGAGCATCTGCAGAGAAAAGAAAAAATTAATATTATTTTCAGAACAGGGGGGATTGCTTTAGCATTTTTTCAGGAATAGTGGTTTTATGAAAGAGCACACCTCGTCTTTTCCAGCTTGAAGTAAAATTTCTGAATTGGATGCGAGCACTGTGGGGGAGAGTGAAACATTTTATATATAAAAAATTTAATTTAGACAAATTTATCACCACAAATATTTTAATTTACTCACAAAATTTAACATACAGAACCTTAATATTAATATAATATGTAAGCTAGCAGCATTCCTGCGGATTGTGATGTCAGCTTTTAAGTTGTTAAAAATACATCTGCGTTGTAAATTAGTAGCAGCGGGAAAAAGGAGGACTTACAGCTTGGCTCAGTAGACGACCACTGCTTCAGCTCAGCATCAGTGGCTATCAGCCTGTTCACTGACTGGTGGTCACCATGATAAAACACAATGGAAAACAGTCAAGTTTAATACACAATCATAAATGCAATAAAAAAATAAACAAACAAAAAAAGCAGCTAAATAAACCCTGTAAACTCTGGCTGAAACTTTAATGGGTAAGTATTTTCCATTCAAGCATGGGCCTGTTACCACTGGAGTTATAACATAGGTTAGGAGTTTAACACCACTAAATATCATAGCACAGATAAAATGCAGAGGAAAGGTGACATTTTTTTCCCCAATGGTTTAAAGCCCATAATAAACAAAGCACCGGTTTTCTTGTATTTTGCTTTGCAGGTCAGCAGGCTGAAAGAAGGCTATTAAAGTGCAGAGCAGAATTATTCAGTGTTTCTCTTTTTCCATGTTTAGTTAAGTTACAGCGTTATTCCAAATGGTAATAAATTACCATTTGTTATTATTAAAATTTATTACAAACTGAAAAGTTTTTCCAGCTTCTGATCAAAAAAAATATTGATCCATCTATGGCAACGGTTTCAGCCTCAAGTCTTTTTTGAGTAAGAGGCCACAACCCAAATACGTCTAACTTTAGGGAGTTTTGTCCCATTCTAACCACCTACAGTAGGGATGGGGGATGTCAGGGCAGAGCAGGGATGACCAAAAAATAGTAAAATAAAAGATTCTGTCAAAATAAAAGATTCTGTCAAATATCACGATACTAGATGAGACAATGTTTGTATCACTTCAAAAGAAAGCCTAATGGATCTTAAAGGTAAGGCATGTATAGGCAAACATCCGTTTCATTTTATTACTTTTCTATAACTTTTATTGGTGGTCTGCTGAGAGCGTCTGGAGAGCCCAGAGTTAGGGATGTATTCACCTCCCATATCTGGGAGAGCTTCTGACTGGGCTTCTGAGTGGACTGTGTTCGTTGAAGCAGTCCGTAGTCATGATACATACATAGTTAGGGTTCTTTGTGTAAATACTGCAAAACTTGTGTTTTTTCCTGAGGCTATTCCAAATCTTTGTAAAACATAAACTTCAATCTTGGGATTTAAGGAGTAATATTTAACACCATAGCTCCCACTGCCTGCTTCATTTGACGTTCCATTTTCAGCATCTAACAAGCTTATTTGTAAACAAAACCCAACATGCTGTACCCCTTTAGACTCAGGTCATCTTCAAGAAATCAACCATCTACTACTGTAAGCAAACTATACTCCAGAAACACCAGCAACTAATAATCTTTCATCAACTTACAACTCATAATTTTACCTTCTTTCCTTGTTTTCGTCTTCTGGCATTCCAAAACATGTTCTATCCTGGCATAAATGGGACATAACTGTCCATAACACTCCACAAAAAAGTCATATCCAGTTGTATTCCCATAAAATAATATCACTTGTCATATTAATCCACAACATAGTTTTTTTTCCCCATGTAAGAATAAAAATATCAGGATAAAAGCTCATTTTTTTGTGTCTACAGACGTGCGTCCTCCATTTTATATATACATGGGATAAAACACTAATCTGTTTGCTCCCAAACTCAAGCATAAGTTGAGGCTGAAAAAAATCTGATTAATCCTGATTAATCAATTATTGAAATCTTTGTCAACTAATTAAGTAATCAATTAATCATTAACTGGAGCATAAAGACTCTAAAACATGCATTTGGCTGACAGAGTGACCCATTTAGAGCAGTAATTGTAAGAAACTGTACAAATATATATCAATATTTTGAATTTAAGATAAAAAAGAACTCCTCAAGGGGAAAAGTTTGATTTTGACTTGGTTTAATTCTGTAAAAAAATCTTCTTTATGGAACCTTTGTCTATCCGATTATTAATAGAAAAATGATCGATAAATTAATCGCAAAATAATTGTTATTTGGAGCTCTACATAAGTTCCTTTATCAGTATCCAAAATACGAAACATCCTGCACGTAAGAAACATCGCCCCAAGGTAGTCTCTGCGCAGCTGGAACTCCACAACTCAGAGACTGATCAAACTTTTATTGACATATTTTTTTTAGCCAATCAGATAAGCATCGCAATGAAGTACAGGAAGTGTAGGGGTGGGCTGAAAAGATAGCGCTTAATAATGTGTGGAAGGAGTAAGAAAAGAGGAGAAATAAATGGACACATACAGAAATGCAAACTCTGAAGGCTGAACAATTAAAATATATTAAAAAGGAAAGTTTTATATCCAGTTACAGCTTAAATGAAAATAATCTAGTTTGACACTTTTAGTGCCAATTTTAGTCCATTCTGCCAAATGGACCTTTTGCATACAAAAAGGTTAACTGTTTTGCAATGTTTATGACTAGAGATCTGAAATTGGACATAAGTGCAGTGAGTTGGAGAGGTAAACTAATATATATACCCTAGATACAGAATATTAAAAATTGCTTTTAGCTGAACAAATAATAATAGTGTAAAAACTCTCCTGAATATACACATTCCATTTTTCTTTGACTCCCGAGAGTTTCCAAATGTTAGTTTATATTCCACACCCCACTCCTCTACAAACCTTTAGATGAAATAATATTTTTTCAATGGGGCACATTTTACTCTTAGTGAAAATGTATAAACAAGGTGTACAAAATGTGTAACAATAGAAGGTTGCAATAGAATTGTAAACATAACAAAAACACTGTCTGACATGTCTATATTATTTTAAATTGTACTGTATTCTTCAGATTAATGGAGGAATTTCAACAAATGAAAAAAAATCTTTTTATTCACTTTTAATTCAGTCCTTGTTTGTAAATAAGTTAATAATCGAATAGGCAAACGTTCCTTAAAGCTCCATGAAGTTGGCCTTGAATCACAGTTAAAGGAGCATTTTATAGAACTCCAGTCTGCCACATCATTACATCATACATGTTTGTAAATGAGGAGACATCCATGGCTCCAGCTATAAAAAACTATTACTGTCTCCCAGATAAAAGCAAAGACCTCCATGTTAAGAAAGATCCTCTCTGTGCCATCATTTCATTTCCAAATCTACATAAAGAACATGATAATTGTAAATCCTGACAGAAGTCCTTTCCTCATTAGATAAACTACTTGAGAAAACATTAGTTTTGACACATACCAGGCAGGTAAGATTAGGGTTTAACAGAGCCGCACATCATCATTAAAAATAATTCTAACAGTACATCTTGTGCAAAACATTACCTAATTGGTACTCAAAGCAATACTCTCCTCTCTCACTGTGCAATAACACATGCTAACTACTGTGTAATCTGTGTCATTTTTCACTTATAAGGTCAGTACATCTCTGCAGTGCAAGTGCAATAATCCAAGTCAACTACTGGATAGTCTTTCCTTAGCTCTTAACTGTACAGATATCTTTATATCCACAGAAAACATTTTCTAGGACATTACAACTTTTTTCTTTTTATATTGCCTGTTGTATTTTCTGTTTTAATTGCATCTGGCTTCAGTTGTTTCTACTCTACATGAGCTACACAGGGAAGTGTCAAACTTTTAACATTTGTGAAAGGTTTAGAGGAACAGTCAAGCTGACTGCCTGACTTTCAGACCCCTGCTTTCCTGGTTGAGTTAGTCCCTATAATAAAATCAGCGTCTTAGGAAAGAGCTCCAAAGTGCCATCTGCTTTAGTTAGGGTTGAAAACTAAATTTAATGTGTTTTCTGAGAAAAAAAAAAGAAAATGAAAAGGATGAAAACATTTAGCCACTTAACCTGTTCCTGTGGATTCTCACAGCTGTCTGCTTCACACAGTATGATTTCATTCAGCAACTGCAACACAAACACATATTAAATGCAGATTTATTATGTTCGGATTGGAATCAAAAGATGTCTTATCTTCTCTATTTATGCTGACTCATGAGTCAAAAGATGCCTTACCTTCTCTATTCATACTGACTCGTGGAATCAAAAGATGTCTTACCTTCTCTATTTATACTGACTCATGGAGTCAAAGATGTCTTACCTTCTCTATTCATACTGACTCATGGAGTCAAAAGATGTCTTACCTTCTCTATTTATACTGACTCATGGAGTCAAAGATGTCTTACCTTCTCTATTCATACTGACTCATGGAATCAAAGATGTCTTACCTTCTCTATGCTGACTCATGGAATCAAAAGATGCCTTACCTTCTCTATTCATATTGACTCGTGGAATCAAAAGATGTCTTACCTTCTCTATTTATACTGACTCATGGAGTCAAAGATGTCTTACCTTCTCTATTCATACTGACTCATGGAATCAAAGATGTCTTACCTTCTCTATACTGACTCATGAGTCAAAAGATGCCTTACCTTCTCTATTCATACTGACTCGTGGAATCAAAAGATGTCTTACCTTCTCTATTTATACTGACTCATGGAGTCAAAGATGTCTTACCTTCTCTATTCATACTGACTCATGGAGTCAAAAGATGTCTTACCTTCTCTATTTATACTGACTCATGAGTCAAAAGATGCCTTACCTTCTCTATTCATACTGACTCGTGGAATCAAAAGATGTCTTACCTTCTCTATTTATACTGACTCATGGAGTCAAAGATGTCTTACCTTCTCTATTCATACTGACTCATGGAGTCAAAAGATGTCTTACCTTCTCTATTCATACTGACTCACGGAGTCAAAGATGTCTTACCTTCTCTATTCATACTGACTCATGGAATCAAAGATGTCTTACCTTCTCTATGCTGACTCATGGAATCAAAAGATGCCTTACCTTCACTATTTATGCTGACTCATGAAATCAAAATATGTCTTATCTTCTCTATTTATGCTGACTCATGGAATCAGAAGAAGCCTTACCTCCTCTATTTATGCTGACTCATGGAATCAAAAGATGCCTTACCCTTTCTATTTATGCTGACTCATGAAATCAAAAGATGTCTTATCTTCTCTGTTTATACTGACTCACGAAATCAAAAGATGCCTTATCTTCTCTATTTATGCTGACTCGTGGAATCAAAAGATGCCTCACATTCTCTGTTTATACTGGCTCTGGAATCACAGTATGTCTTACCTTCTCTATGTATGCTGACTCGTGGAATCAAAAGATGTCTTACCTTCTCTATTCATGCTAACCCATGGAATCACAGTATGTCTTACCTTCTCTAGTTATGCTGACTCGTGGAATCAAAAGATGTCTTACCTTCTCTATTTCAGCAAACTGCTCCTCGCAGAGCTCCAGCAGCTCAGACTGTGCAGCTTTTGAGAGGTGAGCTACAACCTCTCCTTCTGCCCCTTCCTCAACCTGAGGGAGAAAACATCATCCAAAACAGGGAGATTATACTCTCACTTTGAGACACGTTACTTTTAAATAAGAACAGTTCACTAGTCTAAAGATCGGCCGATATTCTTTGTTAGAAAATACAGCGAAATACGCGGAGAAAATTAAACATTAACATCGATGGAATTGCACACGATGGATTAAATCTTACCATTTTCAATAGACCCAAACGTATTTTTTCCCCCCAAAACAATCAAAACTATGGATATCCGTGTTTGTTTCAAAATACCGCCAACTTTGATTACGTCACGACGTAATGACGTAATGATGTCTGCGACGCATGGTGTTGGTGTCGCTGATGCTGCGCAAAATTGCGCAACCGGCTAAAAAATGTAAAGAAAAAAGAAAATGTGTGTATAAAGACTACAAATTCAATGGCTCGTGATGTTTAACACGTGTTCACAAAATGTCTTAAATTCTTTAAAGGTTAAATGGCTTTTACGGAAAAAAGTGAAGTCATTTCAACCCACTGCACAGGTCAGAGATGCCCCAAAAATCGGGATAAGTTTGACTCGATGTTTACAAGCGGCCAGAAATAAAAAAGCTATTACTAAAATGTTGCTATTTACACAGGGAAATTAAGTTAACCTAGCTGCATAGATTCCTGGGAGTATTTCATTTCTACATTGTATGATATTGTATGTATTTAAAAAAAAAAAAAAAAAAAAAAAAAAAAAAAAAAAATATATATATATATATATATATATATATATTCACTGTAATTATCAGCAACAAAAATATTAAATATGTTTTAACACTCATGATGTAATAATTGATACTAATTCTTACTTGAAAGGAAAAGATATTACTTTTCTTTAAAGAAGAAGGGAATCATCCTCTAAAGAGTAATGTACTTTTTGATTGTTTTTAGAAAAATATGCGTTTTTTTGTATATTAATGATAGATTTTTCAAGAAATACTTTATCAAACACCTGTTTACCGCATTAATGCTTATATAGCATGTTGTATAGAATGTAATACCATTTTGTTTAAATTATATCAATTGCTATTTCTTGCTGCCTTCTTGTGAACATAGGTTTTCTACACTGTACTTGTTACTTTTACTTTAGTAGTATTATTGTGTGGTAATTGCTCTCAGCTGAGGAAAGATTTTAGCAGCTCTATCCATCTGGATTAACTTTACCAAAGCTAGATCATGCTTGTTTTACCCAATAATACAGCTGATGCAGACACACAGTTAACTTTTAAATGAACATTTGTGATTTTGTTTCTCTACATGTTACTCTATCTGAGTCTTCTGGAAAAAGGTATTCACTTTAAACAGTAAATACTGTCACTGGAAGCACACACTTTGTTCTAACACACATAGATATTAATTCAGTATTAGTTTATTAAGGTTTATGTTAAGTGTTGAATTTTTAAGAAGTGTCTATTCTGTCTAAATTTATTATTTAGCAACTATGTTATTCATGTGAATTAGTTTGTCATTCTAGACTTTGTTCTTTATGTCTCTGTCTGTCTGATAATTTGCATCAGGTAGGCAATCAGATGGTATGATCAGTTAATAGCAGCCATCAAAAACACGAAATAAGGAATACCACTGTTACTGAATGACAATTTTCTGGTACTCTATCGACCTCTGTATATAACTGAGCTTGCCAGCATTGTTTTATTCATGTTTGATCAGAAATCCTGTGATAACTGTAATCTACGGTCGACCAGCAGGGGTCTCTGTTTCAATTTTTGCGGCAGCTAAAATGAGGCAAACATGTTCTTTTATGTTTGTTAAACTAATTTCTATCTGATAATTAACATAGATTAATAGCTGACTTATTTTTGTCTGATTTTTTTTATTCATTTATTTTTGTTATTTTTTGATACGAAAGTTATTATTTTTATTTCATAGTCCCCCCCATCAGTCTTCATATGATGAGGTAGTACAAATAATTATAATAATGATGATAATATATTTATATCATAGTTATATTCTAATATGTTATAAATTATATAATAAATATATATTTTATGTTATTATTATTGTTGCTAGTGTTGCTGTTATTATTGTGAAATATTAACACATTTATGTAAATAATAAAAAAATACATAAAAAAATCAAGCATTATGATATTCGTTCGTTTAGAGTTGCAAAAATAAGCTTGGATTCTAAATATTTTGAAAAAAAAAAGTAAAAGAAAAAAACATAATTTCCATTATGTGTCTTTAATCTGTTGTTAACGTTACATTCTAGTATTAAAATAATTTTCTGTTTATTAAAAAGATATATATAATTATACATAAATATTTTGTATCTCCATTAAAGTCTTATTTATTCCCTCAAAGATTCTAACCTCATATTCTAATTTAGGCCTACTCACATCCTCCTCTGGATGTTTAAACTCAGAGCCAAGAGAGCAGGTTTGCAGCATAGGAGCCTGAGCCAGGATAAAACCATATCCGTTTTTCATGTTTCTCCAGCTTCCGCCTCTGAAATCACACAGCTTTGATTATTTGAATGATCAACAAGAATTTGATTAATATGCAAATTTCTAAAGGAACCGTTCCATTTGAGCCCTCAGCGCAGCCTAATTAATCAACAGTTAAAGGAAATTAATACATACATCAATTCTGTCAGGAACATGCTTAGGTCAATCGCCCGTAAAATTGAAGTTTGAAGTATTAACTGGCTCCACAGGAAGGCCATGATTAAAACTCTACATTTTTGGCTCCATTTAGAAATATAGAGTGCACAGTGCAGAAGGGGGAAAAAAACCTTAAGGTTATAATCAATATGATAATAATAAGAATACCAATAATACTAATAATAATTTACAGTTTTTCTCCACACTATACTTATAAGTCTGGTGGAAAGTACAGAACAATCAATCAAATTGTACTTTACACTTTCACCTGACACTGCTTTCCACAAGGTGCAGAAAGAGAGAAGGAGAGAGTATAAAAAGGGGAGGGGGGACAAGATGAAAAGAGAGAGGGCAGTACTATTGTTTCAGTAGGGACTCATGCATCAAACTTCAATTTTCCGGCCGATTGAAGTAGTGATTTTTCCCCTCTATCTTGAAGTGAAATACAGAAATACACTTAAGACCTCCAGATTAATTACCACGAAGTGGTCCCTCAGACTGTAGTATTACTTATCACCGGGACCGCCTGGCAAGCACTCATAAAATAAGCAAGTGAAATCCATAAACTTAGCTTGCCTTAACATGCTCTCCCTTCATAAATAGGCTGGATTCAAGACATTATATATGATCGATCTATCTATCTATCTATCTATCTATCTATCTATCTATCTATCTATCTATCTATCTATCTATCTATCTATCTATCTATCTATCTATCTATCTATCTATCTATCTATCTATCTATCTATCTATCTATCTATCTATCTATCTATCTATCTATCTATCTACACTGCAAAAAAAATGAAATCTCAATAAGCCATTTTTTCTTAAAATAAGTTATTTTTTCTTGAATTAAGGAAGTAAGTAAGACACTTTGCCAATGGAACAAGACAATTTACATTTAAAATAAGAGAAACCAATTGCATTGTCTTATTTCAAGTGCATATATAATTATCTTATGTTAAGAGTAAAAAGATTAATTCCATTGGCAAATGATCTTATTTATTTACTCAAATTGAGGCTAAATACACTTGATTTAAGATTTTTTTTTTTTTACTTATTTCTGATCATCTGTTTGTCTAACAACACCATTTTATACACGTATAAACAAATTTAAATATTTACTCTATTGTGTTTTTAATGTTTTAAATAAAATACTATCCTATATCTAATTTCCCCGCACCGTATTTGCAATAACCCCTCTCTAATAAAACCTCTGCAGCCTGCAGAGCTTTAGGCCGGCCTGTTTGAAGTTTTCTCTATAAATGAGAAAAGGCAAACACTATAAAACAAGTCCCAAGAAGACAGCTCAACTTATCCCTTCTTCTAACAAAGAAGGTTAAACGGGAGGCCGGCTTTTCAGATCCCCTTTTGGACAACCTCTTTCTCACATCTCCATGTTTTCAGCTTCATTAAACCCCTTAAAGACAAAAGAAATAAAAAAAAACCGAGATGAGAAGAAAACAAACAAAAGGACTCCCTAACCAGACTTTGGCAGAAATGTCACCATCTCAAACTCTTAATGGCTTCCCTCTTTAACATTAAAACCCCTTTCCCAACAAAAATCCATTTTTTTGTTTAGAAAACGTTCTTGGACAGAAGTCAAACATATTATTTCAGGCTAAAAGGCGAATAAAGACAAGCGGCTCACCAAAAAAAAAAAAAAAAAAAAAAGAGTGGAGGCACTTTCATTGTAATTCATTGACTTGTTCAAAACGCCAGGCACAGAAAGGGGCCCAGACATTAATAGCCGCAGATGCCCTCATGAAGGGGGGAGTCTATGTAGGCATTATGCTCTTTGTTCGCAGCCAGTTAAACTGTTTAAAAGGAGGGTTAACTCAATCCATCAAATTGTCTGAAATTGTGAGGAAATTTCAAAAACCATATGGCTTCCAAACGTTTGCGTCCTTTTTGTGCGGTGGGACACACTTGTCTCAGTATTGCTGCCTGCGGGGGACCGGGGCCCTGCTCCTTTGTGGATCGTCCCATCAGGGGACTGCTGCTCATTTGTCCCCACTTTTCATGCTTTGCGCTCAAAATTACGGCCCCGCAGTTCCGCGGAACAAAAAGCCATGCTCTATAAAAAAAAAAAAAAAAAAAAGGCTCAGAGAAACTGGCCCAAAACTTTTTCTTTTCTTTTCTCTTCGCCCCCTTTTTTTTTGCACCAGATTTGTGTTTCTCACATAAATTTTTAGCCCGAATAGGGAAACACGTCTGAGGGTCAAGAAGGCACGATACGCATTTATTAGACGTGAAAGAGGGGGGATGCGGGGATTCCAAAACCACAAAATGTTTAGAACAGAGAGAGAAACAAAAGGGACAAAATAGCTCAGAATAATAACTAAAAAAATGAATGATTTTGATGAGCTTAGCAACAAGAAAACACAAAAAGCCCCCAAGAATTGCAGCAAAAAAAAAAAAAAAAAAAAAAAAAGGAGTCAGAAAAGCAATTTTTATTCCCATCGTAGCCTATATACAATACAGTCTGTGCATTGGTTTTCAGATAATGTCCTGATTTTAGGAAGGCACTTACAGGTGTACAAAACATAACAAAATTTATAGAACTGTAAATCTATTGTATACAAACAATAATCTAAAAGCTGTGGAGGGAGGGAAATCACCATATATTCCGGCTGATTTCTGGAGACACGGAGGAGGAAGAGCCGGCAGTGA